AGTCCTTTTTTATTCCCCCGTTTTACCTGTGGTCCAAATCTATTTCTTTCACATAACTACATAGATTTCCTCAGTAAGTGGGGCAGTAGACAATGGCCGATTCCGAAGACATACTTCTTTGTATCCCAAGAATTTCTACATTAGTGTGGTGTTGGTCCTGACAATTTGGCATGTAGGATTTAAACTCGATTTACAAAGTAGCTAACAAACATCTGGAGTTAAACCATGTATACAAGCCCACACAGTACTCCCTGTATTTTGTAAATTCTTGTCTTTTAGGTTTTTTGCCTTTGTTTTGTTGGCACCGGGGACTGGGGCTCCTATGAGAATCTAATGCCTCAAGATCTGAGGTGGAGTTGAGGTGGTGATGCTGGATCTGGGGAGAAGCTGCAAATACAGATGAAGCTTTGATAGCTTGCTTGCCCGCTGCTCACCACCTGCTGTGTGCTCTGGTTCCTGACAGGGCATAGCTGGCCTGGGGGTTGGGGATCCTTGCTTTAGGGGGTTAAGGTTATTCAATAATAGCAAATGGAAAAAACAGAAAATTTTGTGCCTGTCATGGGGAGTGTCAACACTATACTATCCAGGGTGAACATCCTCCTTTAATGTTCTTTTTCTGTTTTGTTTTTGTTTTTCAAATTCTATTACATTTGTTTCTGAGGAGCTATACAGATGGTAATTATCATGAGAGTCAGTTCAATGTCAGGAATACTTTATCTTCCTGCTGTGAACTTGCCTACGCTGAGATTATTTTTCTTAGCTGCTACTTCTTACACCACAAACAATAATATTTATATATTTTTCTTCTTCCTATCTCTAAAATGAGACAACTATTGATTTCATTCAGTACCTGACCCAGAGCGGGACTAGAAAAAGAAAGTTTCGGCTCTCCTTATCCACTAACCCTGGACTCTTGGTTGTCTCCAGCTCAATTACATTTATGATTACTCCAGAAAAATTCCACAGCTGTTTCATTTTTGTTGTAATTACTCCCTCTTGCTTCCAATCTTTTTTCAGTCCTTCAAGACGTCTTCTTTTGAGCTTTCATTCAAGAGAAGCTGAGAGGAGGAACACTGGATTTTCTTCCTTGATCTGAAAAATTAATTCATCATGTGTCAGTCAGATTTATTCTAAAATTTGCATTCCCCAAATTTGCTTGTTATTATAGCATATAACTCTCATCCAATTTATAAAATACAGTAATGTGTAACTGAAAATGTCTAAGTCCTGGCAGACTTATGTAAGATTTACTAAGCAGGAGGTGAAGGGCAGCAAAACTGCCCATGACTTATGCCTGCACATTTAACTAACTCTCCAGGGATGCTGTCGACGCTTGGGAACTTTGTGAAACACAAGAAACCAACAAAGGTTGCCCCTGAAAATGCCAAATGGCTTGGAATTTTCTTGAATTTTTTTCAGGAAAGATCCCTAAATACTGCTAATCATACTAATAATTAGTTTTCTCTGCTTCTTTTTCTGAAGAATGGGGGAAAACATTCCCCTGGACATCACTGTCTTAACCCAGAACGTGTTTGCAAGAATTGCGATTTATCTGTGGGTGGTTTCTGCTCTTGTCTTACCTGATCAGATTTTTAAATTCCTTGAAGGTGAAGAAAGTGTGTGTCATTCCCAAGTGAATTTGGGAGTTAGGCAACATAGTAATTGTCATTTAGAAACTTTCCTTTCCTAAACGATTTCTAATTGTATACAACATTTGACTTTGTACTTTCTGTCTATGAGAAACTTCTATTTATAACAGGTAGAATAACTTTATTAGAGTGGGCAGATTACACACAAAAATTGCTGTTCATGTAAAAAATGTGAATCTTGAGAAATCAATAAATAAACTTGGGAGCATCTGGATTCCTTCCTCCTCCTTCTGCATATGTCCGCCTCTCTTTCTTTATGGCAAAGGTCATTAAGAGCGAGGGTGGATTCTGAAACAGAGAGGAGAGGAGGATGAGACAGAATAAAATAGTAAGCCTCAATAATAGCTCACATGTATTGAGAGTATGCATCACTTAATCTTTCTGAGAACTTAATATTCTATGCTTCCCACTTTCATGATGAGGAAAATGAGGCATAAAGAGACAAAATAACTTGCTAGTGAGTTGGCAAAGGAGGGATTAAGTCTAGGTCTGTTCACTCCAATGCTCACATGTGTAACTACTACTTTTGTGGCCTCTCAGAAAGGCCAATACATAATGAATAACTTGGGAAGAGAGAAAGTCAAAGAAGGTGAAGAAAGACAGGCAGCTTGAATGGCCTAGAATCAATGCTCCAATTTCAGGAGTGTCGGCCTAGCACTCTATATGGGTGGAAGAGGGTCTATCATACTCGAGGCATCTGAGGGGCTGACTGTGGGGGATGACCTGGGGTGTGTATACAAGCCTTGTTTCTTCTCTCATTCATTGTCCCTTTTCATTATGAAAAATTTTGAGACCTGTCACACAACAAATATCAGTATAATAGAAAACATTTGAATTCCCTACTTTAAGAAACAGCATTTCTCATGTGCATATTTTGCAAAATTCCTGAATACCACAAGCATTTGGTCACTACTTTGGAATTCAGAGAGGGGGAACTTTAGGCCAGGTTAATGTTTTATTGGAGTGGCAGCAGGTCAGAAGTGCATGAGGTTTCAAAGCAAAGGAAGAGAAGCTGACTGCGCCTCACGTGCCATTGGTGGAGTTGCCAAGCTCCAGGGCCCTTTCCCAGCTTTGCCTATTCAGGAATGCAATTTTGATAGATTTCCCATGAGTGTTCAGCCATTTGGAGAGTAATTCACAGTGACCAAGAATGTGATTCATTCATTTCAACAAGCATTTGTTCAATACCTTTTTTGCTGGATTTTCTCCTTTGAACCCTCTAGAACTTCTGTCCCCTCCTCTACCTGCTCTGTCCCTGAGGGACTGATCTTTATGGACTGGACCAATCCTCTGGCTTTCCCTGTATTTGATATGTAGGAGGCACCAGCAGGAAGTGGGAGGGCCAGAGAGTGAAGTAAGGTTGCTCATTTCCTAGGCCAGGGGTCGTAAACTCTGACCATTATTTCATATCTGGCCTGCAGTTTGCTTTTATAAATAAAGTTTTATTGGCACACAACCATGCTCATCCATTTAAGTATTGTCCATGGCTGCTTTTATACGAATGGCAGACTAGAGTAATTGCGACCGAGATCTTAACAGCCTGCAAAACTTAAAATATTTATTTTCTGGCTTTTTACAAATAAAAGCTTTTTGACCCTTGCTTTAGGTACCTCCCTGTCTAGGTGGCGTTATTGATTCCTTAGGCAGCTCCATCCCTGCCCAAAGACATTTCTGTCAGGAGACACTCCCTATAGTTTCAGCTACACCACAGCTAGATTTCTTTCTGAGTTCTGGGAACCAGATCTTTCCTGGCCCCATCAAGGCCTACAGGTAGTTCTCACTTGTTGTTAGTCCCAGGGTGCCTCACTGTCTTTCATTGCCTTCCTTTATCCCTGCACACAATTACTCTCTTCATGTCTTCTAATTTACTCAGTTGAATTGTGCCATCTATTTCCTTCTGAGACCCTGACTGGCCTATTACATGCCACATGCATAGAATTGTGCTAGAAGCAGTGAAGAAAAAAATAAAAGAAAGAAAGAAAAGCAAGGCTTAGTACATATACTTGCTTTTGTTAAGGTTTTAAGGTAGTGATGACAGGTGAGGGAAAGACATAAGAAGAATGCAAATGACTATTATATGAAGAAGACTTTGGTAAGTAAAACAAGAGAGGCAAATACATAAGAGAGAAGGGAGAGAATCATATTTGGTTGAAATATTCGGGGAAAGCTTTATTGATGAAGTGGTGTTCGAGGTGAACCCTAAAGGATGGGTTAATTTTAAAGAAGTGGTTTTGTAACTGAGAATTATAGGTAAGTGGACAATAGGAGATACCCGTAGAAAAATAAATAATAATTGCCACTTCTTCATGCATTTGGCAGAGCACTTTGGATATCATTTCATTTTATTCTTATAATGACCCCATGAAATAGTTCCTATTATTATCCTATTAACAGACAAGGGAACTTAGGCTTTTTTTGAAAACTAAGTAACTTGCCCATGATTTATGGCTTGAGGGGAAAAAGTAAAAGTGCTGATCCAGGCTCTTAATCCTTAGAGAGATAACAAAGCATGGATTGTGTTTCTATGTTGGTTTTGGATATGTGAAGCTAAACATAGAGAGAAAAATTCCGACTTCCAGAGAAGATTCTAATTTTCTCTGCAATTAGTGAAACAAGTACAGTTTATAAGTATGTTCTAGGCTCTAGATTATTAACATGAGAATTTAGTAGTTTAACACATCCGTGGCAGGTATGAGAAAACTGGAAGTGTTGGAGAAAGTTATAAAAACAGGAGAGAAGATTACCCTCTGGTCATTGACTCCCCAGGAGGACCACAGATGGGTTTCAGGTGGTCTTCCTTCAGCCTCTAGCGCTGAGCTAGTTTTTATGAAATGCATTTTCCCCTGTCCTCTAGAGCCATTTAGTCAGGACTTTTAAAGAACATTGGACCTTGTCGTATACATAAGGATTCTTAATATTCATTGGATATGGATATACTAATTTTTTCAGTCTCGGTTTGCTGGACTCAAAACCTGTAAGAACGGTCGTCTACCTTCATAGGCTTGCTATGAAGCTGTGAAAATGCTTTGAAAAGTCCATATGGCTAAACGAACGTGATATACATGAGCTCACAACTTTTTCCAGGAGATACACACATTTATTTAGCGTGTAAGGCCCGGACTATTTTCGTCCTTCGTCTTTGCCTGTCCTCTGCTATGGACAGTTACAAATTTGGTCAATAATGTCCTGGGAGAACGTGATGCCCCCAGCTAAGTACGCAGGTAAGAGATCTAAAAGGCAGAAAAGATTTTAGGGGAGGAGCGGGGGCCTGGCATGACCTAGCCGCTGGCCGCGCTGCCGATTGGCGGAGGAGAAGGTTGTCCCTCAGGGCGGCCGCTGATTGGCTGCGGGAGGAGGAGGCCTGCAGTCCTCAGAAGTTGAGCAAACATCTCTCCGCTCCATCCCAATTCTGTTGGGACTTCGGGGCCTACCCTGTCCGGACCCGGGAGCTGGGAGGCGGCGAGACCGGTCTGCGCCCCCGAGAGGACGAGGTGAGGCGGGATGCCGGGAGGGCTGAGCGGAAGGGCTGCGGGCTCAGCCTGTGAGATGCGCGTGCAGATTGCAGGCGGCGCTCGGACTCTGGGCCCGGAGCCGAGGCCGCGCTCTACCTCCCGCGCCCTGCGCCGGACCCCGCCGGTGTAGGTACAAACTAGAGAGAGAGGGTGACAAGCGTTTATGCCACCCTCCTAGGCCTCCCCTCCTAGCAAGCTGAGTGGTGCGGCTCCACAATTTCTGAATAGGAAGAGGAAGAGATGGCAATATGGATTTTTCTTTTTTTGGGCGGGGGGTGGGGAGTGCGGTTGCTGAGGAGTAAAGGATTGGTGATGAAGCTGCAGAACGAACACTTACTTATTCTTAGACTGTGTACTTATTTAGATTGGCTGGCTGCGGGGGTGGTTGATGGAGATTTGCGGGGGGTGCACCTCCCCACCTCCCACCCCACAGCCGCTTTCTTTCCGCGCGGTTTGGTTTCCGGTTGACCTTTCCAGCTCTGGCGGCTTAGCCAAACTCTTATCACAAACTTCTCGCCCTGTTCATCTCGGGTTGGCCATTCTCTTTGAGATGGAGAACCGCCCCCGGCCCCCACCCCCGCTTCCCCAAGCTCCCATCCTCCCAGCAAGCTGCTGTTCCTGGTGCACACTCTACCATAGATAGGAGGTGGGAGAAAGTTGGATCTCAGAGTCGCCTGAACTCCTGAGACCCTGCAGGGCCCTTGCTGCCTAGTGTGAAAGCTTGCCCCAGGAATGGGCGCGGGTGGAAGCAGTTTGTTGCCTACTCTGCTTGACTGAACAGGGCTAAATTGTCCTGACGACTTCTAGAAGAGATGTGCTTTCAGAAACTGATTTTAGGCGGGTGGAAATGGGGTGGGGCGTGGAGAGAGGGAGGGAGTTCAGTAGTCTGAACAAAGATAAACATTTTTTGATACTGTAGGTCATCCTTTAAGGGACTGTGGAGAAGATGTAGCTATACACAGGAGTGAACCATTGCTGACCCAAGCAGTGACTTTCACATACTTTTTAAAAAAATCACTGATAGCATTTTGTGTAGATATGTTTATGTCTACGTATGTGTGTGTGTATTTTGTCACTTGTACTCCCCTCCCTCTTTTTTCTCCATAAAGACTAGTGAACTCAGGGCTCTATGACTTTCTGGCAACGTAAACAGTCTGCAAAGTGACCTGTCTGCAAAGTGAGTTAGGACAAAGGCTGAAATCAACTTTCCTTAGATACTTTACCACTCTTTAGAAATTTGTATTTGTTATCACTTTAACTTGTTATCGATGACAGCATTATCAGAACTTTAATCTGAATTGTTTGGAATTGAAAATCTCCTCCCTGGCTAACTAATCCTTTATTTAAGCTTTAACAGACCTTGGCTCGGGATTTTGGAAGTGATCTTTGGTGTATAGGCAGTGTCTGTTCAACAAAAAAGTTTTCATTTTTCCAAATGTTCTTTATAATTTTGTCATAGAAATAGCAGTACAAACTGGCAACTTTCCAAATCCCTGAAATTCATGGAAGCACAGCAACACTGCATTTTGGCTGGGAAATAACTGACAATTTTATTGCCATATTCATCAAATATCGGGTGACATCACTGTAAGATACAACTTTATTTCAGAGATGCTAAAATGTCAAAAATGTGTCTTAAATTTGATGAAATTTAGTATTAAAATGGTAAGTTATTTATCTTAAACACCCATGCCTAAGGGTGAAGTTGAAGAGAGAGCTTACTGGCCCCTTTTTTCTTCCTTGAAAAACTTAAGGTGAGTGTGACAAAGAGGAAGGGAAGGTAATGTCTTCTATTAGTGCTGTGGCTGTGCTCATCTTTGAGGAGTGCGCAGGCTCGGAGCCTCTTCGTTGCTTAGCATTTATTGAGTGTTTGCGTCAGGCAAGGCAGTGCTTAGCACTTTATGCATATCAGTTCAAATAAACTTCACAACAGCCCTGACTCCCTTTTGCTGATGAAATACAGACAGTTTGTTATACACCAAAGGCACAGAGTAAGTGATGTTGAGGAGCCCAGGCCATCTGTGGAGGAGAGGAGCCATTGTTCCTTTGAGTTATTCTCCTGTTGCAAGCTCTGGGCTCCTGGTTACTGTAGTCCATGCAGGTAACCTAGGTAAATGCCATCTCTCATAGTGTTTTTGGTGTTTTGTTTCCCTGTTTAGGATCCTTTAGCTGGATCTTCATGAGTCAGAGTGCCCGTTTATATTCTAAAATTCTAATGATTTTGTATTCCATAGTGCCCAGACACTAATATGCTTAATAGAATATTAGAGCTGAAAAGGACTTGAGTATTATATTCCAGTCTGGATGAGGAAACTGAGGTCAAGAGAAGGAACTCTATAGCTAGTTATTAATCTCAGTTCCCAAGTCTAGATTTTCCTACCATATTATATTGCATTTCATAACACTCATTGGTCTATGCGATCTTGGCAAAGAACAGATCTTTGTGGGGCATTGTAGCGGCAGAGAAAGGAGATCGAGTCCCTGTTCTCATTGGTGTGTCTATTTTGTTTTCTCTGCTGCATAGGTCTTTATGATATTCATTTAAAGTTGCTCATTCATTCATTTATTCTTTCTCAAAACATTTGAGTTTTCCTATGTTTGTCATTCACAAACATGAATAAGATAATTCATTCCCTCAGAGTTCTTACAGTTTGGCAAAGAGATAGACAAATAAGCACATAAGCATTTTGGATTAGCCTCCAGTTCAGAACTAATTTTGCACTCCATCTCAGAGAAACAAAATTTGTGGGCTAGAGACCAGTAGAGTCACGGGTCTTATATCTTTGGATGACTCTGAGTAGCTGATGGGCTTGAGAATATATGAACATTCTTAGACCAAATCAGATAATACTAACAGAGTCCCTCTTCTCTAAGTCCACTTGTTTGTTTTTTTTACTTCTGGCTGACTGTAAGGGGTCAGCCAGACCTCTTTAATGTGGAAGCATTAAATGGAATATTACTCAGCCATAAAAAAATAAAATCTTACCATTTGTGACAGCATGGATAGGCCTAGAGGGTATTATGCTGAGTGAAATTAGACAGAGAAAGACAAATGCCATATGATTTCACTTATATGTGAATCTAAAGAACAAAATAAATGAGCCAACAAAACAAACAAATTTATTGATACAGAGAACAAACTGATGGTTGCCAGATGGGAGGGGGTTGGAGGGATGGGTACAAAAGGAAAGGGTTAAGAAGTACAAATTGATAGTTACGAAACAGTCATGAGGATGTACAGCATAGGGAATATAGTTAATAATATTATAATAAATATGTTTAGTGCCTGGTGGGTACTAGACTAACTGAGGGATCACTTTGTAAATTATATAAATGTCTAACCACTATGCTGTACACCTGTAACTAATATAAAATAATGTTGAATGCCAACTTTAATTGAAAAAACAAGAATCCAAAAAAAAGGAAATAAAAAGAATTTAATCACTTCACACCACTGCCTACAAGTACAGAAGGCTCCTTCCAACAGGGGAGAAGGTGCCATTAGAGTGTGAGCTCACCCTTCTCCATTCTCTTATCAAAGAATAAAGTTCTGCTCTGCTTTACCAGGCTGGACTGTGGTGGGGGTAGGATGAACCTAGGCAACAGGAAGTGTAAGGTTGAGGATGGCGTTAGTGCGTGCCCAAGCCTAGTTCTAGCCTTGGGGTCGGGAAGTATTTGGATTAGTTCTAGACCATCACCAGGTGTTCTACTAATTTGGAACTCTTTTGGACTTCTCCAGGATTATTATGGGCTGGATACCAAATATGTGGTGTGGGCCAAGACTCATGGCCATGGAGCTGTCTGCCCTTATTTACAGTACCAGAGCTTCCTGGGAAACCATGGTTTTAAAAATACATTTGCATTTTTTTTTTAATGACCCAGAAGAGTAGGTATAAATCGTTTCCATTTCTCATCCATTACCTTATTTTGTTCAACTCAAGGCTACTGCATTCTCAGTCTCTCAGTATTTAATCCAGACATATGCCTGGTTAGTACAAATAACGGCATTGAGAAATCTCCGCATGTGACTTGATAGTTTTAGTTTTAGTTACTGAGTTATATTCTAGTGGCATTATTTTAAAGTTCTAAAATGTAATGACAAAGAGCACATCTCTGACTATGCGGGCTAGAAATGGAAAATTTGTCATTAATTTCTTCAATAATGAATTTGTGATCCTTTATACACGTTCCTATGGAAACAACAGAAATTAGGAGGGGTCGAGCCTAGTCTTTTTTGTACTTAGGTTCTTGTATTTGCTTATACATTGTTCTGGTTTAGGTAGTAGATTTGTAAGTTTAACAAGTTTTCTGGTTAGGTTGATGCTATGGAAAGGAATAGAGACCTGAAGGATTTTTAAATATTTGATGGGAGACTACAAAGCACCATGTAGACTTCAGCTCTGTAAATCCGCCTTACTCATGAAAACCAACACAAATCAAATCCATTGTTTTACGACATAAGTACTACCTGAACAATAGCAAATAAATGTAACCTGATCCAACTACATTTGAAAGTTATGCCAACCAGAACAGCTGACTGTTTTTTTTATTATGATTAATTCATAGAGGCTTGGAAAATGATTTTCTATGAATCATGGAAAATCCCTTATTTCTATGGGGCTCATTATCTTCATTTGTATTATCAGATTTTAAATTATCTTCTCTCAGGCTCATTCTGATGCTAATATTCAGTTATAATCAGCAATTGATAAATTACCATCACATTTTTATTGGGGCCATTTAAGTAGAAAAAACTGTCCCAGTCTGCTCCTGTTGGATCCCATGAAAAGGAGCAGAGACTGGGTTGCTACTTCTTTACAAGTACCTAACATCATGCTATGCACATCTTAAGCAATGCTCCTCCCCCAAATTTTTAAAAATTAAATCAAAACACTTCTCCTAATCAATGGGCAAACGATAACTCCATCAAGAAAATTTCTGCTTCTGCTTAAATGCAACAGCTCTACCCAGTCTAGTTCATTTTCTTCACCTGTAAAATGGGGAAAGTAATAGCATCATCTTAATAAGATTTTTGCAAAGAGAAAATTAAATAATGTCTGTAAGGTGCTCAGCGTAGGACTTGGCATATTATGTCAAATCAACAGTAACTATTGTTACATTTGCTTAAAAACTAAGCTTCACGAATTATGATTTAAGAATTCTCTTCAAAAAGTGAAAGCAAAAGCAGCATCCCAAATTAACTCCAGGGTTACTCCCTGCTGCTTTCTTTTCCTAGTCTCCATAAACAGTCTGCCTTTGCAAATATGTATGTGCATTACATGTGTGCATGTGTCTGTGTCTCTCCTCCCACACCGTGGCCCCCAACCCAGACACAGGAGGTGGGAGGAGGAGGAATGATCCCTGAGGGAGGGGAAGCTGTGATGAGAAATCAGGTTGGGCCCAGGGGAGAGACTGTATTATCTGAACGGATTTCCTCATCTCAGCACCAAGAATTCCTACAAAGAATAGAGGATATGGGGTCCTTTGGTCACCTATGGTATGTGAAGTATGGCCCCTGCTGGGAGGATGGGACCATTTCTGGGCTTTCTGTGTGTTCGAAAGAATCACTTGTCTTTGGAACCAGTTTTATTCCAGAACATAGGGATTCTGTAAGTTCTATGGGATGCTGCAGTTCTTCCTTTGGCTTGGGGGAGAATAAATGCTATGGGCTTGGAGTTGGGTTGGACCTAATATAGTCTCTTAAAAACAAAACTATGTAAATAAACCAAAAATTAGATAGAATGCATACCAGTCTTTTACTGAAATGTTGATCATCGATATTTTGGCCCGAGTAAAAGCCTGAGCTTTCAGCCATCAGTGCCTTCGCTGGCTGTGTGCAGCGCTTTCTCTTCCATCCCCTCTCCTTCCTAAAGTCTTCTTAGCAGAACTCCTTGCTGTTTGCTTTGTTCTTTTAGTCTGTTGTGTTGCGAGTTGTCCTATCAATTTTCTATCTCGAGTGGCAAGTAGTTGTTTGTCCCCAGGAAATATACTTGTATGCGCCACTGTTTGGACAAACGTTCCTCATCTGTGTGGTGGGTCTGATTTAGAGGTTGCCGTCTGACCTAACAGAAGTGTGTGCTAGCACTGATTGGTAAGAAATTTCTGGGAGGTGTGAAATCATTTAGTCTCTATATTTTGATGCCAACTTTAAACATAAAAAACTAAGGTTTAGCATCCAAACGATCCAGTAAATCATCATCTGAACTGACGTTTGACTACCAAACGTATGTAGCCCTCATTTGACTGTTTGATATTTATGCTGAAAAAAATGTATGTAAAATTTATTCTGTGCTGACACATAGTACGCCTTTTGTAGACATTTCTTGATTGAATAAATGAGGAGAATTATGCAATCTGGATAGCAGTTAGAAAGCTGGTGGAGACAGGTCCGGGTTTAATATAATAGGACGAAGTGGATGGAGAGGAAACCCTGAAAATGGGAGTGGCAATTTTGTTGACCAAATTGGAGCAACAAAAAGATCAGTGAGGGTGACGCTGGGGTGAGGGCCGTGCTTCTTAAACATCTAACACCTGTGGTGAAGGAACATGTTAGTTTGTTTTGTTTTCTTAAATTTCCAATCTACCAGGACCAATAATTTTATAAAATTCAATAACAGCTAGTTACTAGAAAAATGATCATGTGATATAAAGGTCTGTAAGTGCTACCTTCATATTTATGTACATATCTCATCACTGACCAGTAAAGAGCAGTTCACTGGCCTACGACAGGCTGCAAAACAAACTCTGAGTAGTTGAGGTAATGGTCAGGGATAAAACTTGAAAGAGGCTGGAACTAAATTATCAAGAATCTTATACATGAGTAAAGGATTCCAAACTTTATGCTCTTGGAATTGGCATAAATTATCTCCCTGTATTTTCATTGCAGGTTAACTTGCTTAAAACTTTTGTGTTGAATAGTTGTTTGATAAAAGATATATTTAAAAAAAGCTATTTTGGCTTAGTGGATATGGGTCTCATAAGTTGCTTGGTATGTTTGTTTTTTTGGGGGGGATAAATAACCTTGTTTGTGGAAATTTGGGTTTGTTTAAGTAAAGAAACACTTTGTGTCATCCAGGTCTTCTCACCTACCATCTTTTCACCATCTGGTATGTATTATTATCTGAGTTGGCTGGATTTTACAGCAGATTTCTTAGACGACCAGAACTGATCTGTTATTAGCCCTCCTGCCTTCTCTTGTCCTGCGCTGTTATGATTTCTTTCCAGTCACCAGGTTTCAAGATGCTGCGAGTACGTAGGACCGAGCTGTGCAGGTTGGGGCTCGGCCTCTCCAGGGGGCTTCACCAACAGCCTGTGATGGCCCTGAGGCGGGAGGACGTGAACGCCTGGGAGAGGAGGGCCCCTCTGGCCCCCAGGCACATCAAGGGGATCACCAACCTGGGATACAAGGTCTTAATACAGCCTTCCAATCGGCGGGCCATTCATGATAAGGTGAATATTTCCAATTTTTTAAATATGTGGGAATGAAATGGCCCTGGATATGGAAATGAAGGAGCATCTGAGTGAAAATAAAATGTTTACTGGAGTCCTTGAAATAAGCACATGGCGATATTCTTTTACTTTGGTTAGAATCCTTAACTGAGTCCAGAATTCAACCAATAAGTATTATTTTCACACAGTCCTTGCTTTCTCCAGCAGAGTGATAGAGGGATTGCTTTTAGAAGAGAGGATATCCTTCGGTCGTTCTCTCCTTTGTGTTGCGACCCTCTTTCTGAGATGGAGGAGACAAGGCCACTACTTGTCTTTTGACTTGTAAGACTTGCCTCCAGAAAATGCTTCACTGAACAGAGTTTATTCATGCGAGTTTGCCTTGACAGCCACTGTGTGCAGCCTTTTACATTTATCGTTAGTTTACTGTTCATAATAATCTTATAGGTTTGGCTCATTTTCATTTTATAGATATGATATGCTTTTTCTTCCCTGAGCCATTTGAAAATATGTTGCAGACATCATGACACTTTATTACTAAATGCTTCAGTATGCATTTCAGCGTCATTTTCCTATATAACTGTCATATCATCTTCACACCTAAGAAATTAATAATTCCATAATATCATCTCACATAGCCCATTTCATATTCCTCACTGTCTGAAATGTCTTTTATGATCTTTTATTTTAACTGAAGCTTAATTAAGGTTTTTTCCATTTATCGTTATATCTCTTTAGTTCTTTAAATCTAAAACAGCATCCCATTTCAATTTTTGTTCATTTCAATGACATTGGCTTTTTTTGAAGTATCCAGGCCAGTTGACTTGTAGAAGTTCCACTCCTGGGTATAATTAGCCTGATTTTTACCTCATGATTAGATTCAGTTTATATACTTTTGACATAAATATTCCGTTGTTGATGTTCCTTCCCCTGTATTACACCAAAAAAAACAGGTTGCTATGTGGTTAGGAATGCATGATCACTTGACTGAGGTGGTTAACACCAGATGTCTGCATTGCAAAATACCTTTCTCTCTTTGTAATTTCTGAGTCATTTGTAAGATGATACTTTGAAACCTGTGAATCTCCTGTTGCTCAACAACCTTTTAACTAATGATGTTAGCATCCATGACTAATCTTAACCAGAATCAATTTTTACATGGAAGTTTGCAAAGTGATTATTTTCTGATTTTATCACTCTTCTAAGTTTATTTCCTGACATTCTTCTGTAGAAAAGAGATTTCCCTTAGTTTTCCCCTTGTCTCTTGCTCTTTTGAATATCATATGGGTGCGTGAGCTTTTTTCATCTAATGTATGCTATTCCATTAACCATTTTTCCTTTTAATATTCTAATTATTCCAAATCTGAGATAGCAAGAGTCCCTTTAATGGGGCTACTATCTCTTTGGACATGAATCCTTTTATCTTTGAGCTTTCTTGTTGCCTGCAACAACAAATTTTCACTATGTGCTTTTTCTGCCCCACACCTGGAATTAGCCATTTCATCAGGGAACCCTGATTTCTTTTACTTTATAGAAACCTAGATCTGGTATCCAGTGTTAGGTGTGTTGATTGTTACTGAAATGTTGTTGCTCTTAGCCCTTTTAGTGGACAGAGCTAAGGAATATGGACACAAACACACATACATATATATTGATTAATGAATTAATACTGATATTTCCAATTAAAATTTAGCACTGCAGGTTTTTCTTACCTTTAAAATTTTATATTTGCATCTGTTTTCTCCAGCAGTGAAAATTTGAATTCCTTATAACATTAATGCACATTTTTGTTATACTCTGTAATATACATAAAATAATTTTGGAATCACAATGCTAATATTACAATTAACAATAAACATGTTAATGCTAAGAGAGTAGACCTTAAAAGTTCTCATTACAAGAAAAATTTTGTAACTATGGGTGTGTGTGGTGAAGGATGATAACTAGACTTATTGTGGTGATCATTTTGCAATATATACAAATATCAAATCATTTTCTTATACGTCTGAAACTAATATAATGTATGTCAATCATACTTCAATAAAAAATCCTATTAAATGGAGTTTAATATTTCTTTGAAGATTTTTTTTCCCTTTAGTATACATCTCAGAAGGTATACTTTATATAAGGTATACTATATATACATTATACAGAAGGAATACTATATATAATATGTATGCTACATACTTTTTTCCCTTGCTTTGTTTAGTCAACAATATGTCCTGGAAATCATTCCATGTCAGAAAGAATATTCAAAGTGCTGGGTTTAAAAGTTATTTGAGTTATTTTTTTCTATGCGGTTACATGGTCAATATTATATCCAGTTGGATTTATTTATTCTTGTTTCTGTTTTAATGTTTGCTCTTAAATCTTTTTGATTTAATTTTATTTTTCAAATAAGTTAAACATTTATGAGTTTGAAAGATTAAAACTATATAAAAAATGTGTAATGCAGAGAGGTCCTGCTCTCATCTTAAACCCCTACACCCACCCCATAGGTTACTACTTTCATTAGTTTCTGATCTATCATTCCTCTGTTTCTTTTTACAGTAATAAACATGTATGTATGTGTGTGTGTTTTATTTCCTCCTTCGTCTTATGCAGAAGATTCTATATATACTATGTACACTACCTACTCTTTTACCCTGCTTTGTTTAGTCAACAGCATGTCCTGGAAATCACTCCATGTCAGTTCATAGAGAGCTGCTTTATTCTATTTAATGGTCATGTAGTAATTACTCCACTGTAATTACCTCATGATTTTTTTGTGATTTATTTAAACAGTCTACTATAAATGGGCAAATAGACTGTTTTCAAAGAAACCAGGTATGAACCATGTTTATTCTTTTACCATCTCTTCTATCCATCTTTACTTTCCTTTGGAGCAGATTCCTAACTAGATTTATCTTCATTTTATTCAACTACCATCTTCGATACTCTTAATTATGCTTGGTTCATGCTACCCCTTTATTTAAAAATATGAAATGACTGTCTGTTGCCTTTGTGTACTAGCTATATGATCTCAGCTAAGTGCGTAAGCCTCAAGTTTTCCATTGATAAAATGGGGATAATAACACTACCTACTTCATGGGAGTTTTAAAAGATAATTCATGTGAAGAGCTTAGCAAAACATATAGTAATTTATTAATAAATCATTATTTAATGATCATTTTTATTTTTTACCCAATAAAGCTCATATCCACCATAATAATATTCAGTCTACTATTCCAAATTGATTTACCTATAATGCCCTAAACATCTTCATTTTCCTGCCTCCATATTTGTATATGTTTCTTTAATGCCTTTTATTGATATTATCACCTTGTATTTCCTATCTCTACCTCTCCAATCCTACCCAGCCTTTCAGATTAATTTAAATGTTCACATTTCCTTTATCATTTCATCTGGGAATTACCTCAATATCCATTAAACTAATATACCACTTCGATTCTGCTGATCATAATGTTCTTCTGAATTCAGCCTCGTTTACTGTGCTCCTGGCTCCTTTTAACTGTATTTTGTGAGCTCCTTTACTGGAAGGATCTTATCTGGCTTTTTTTTTTTTATCCTATCATCTCATCTCTAGCACAGTCCACTGTATGGAGTAGGTCAGTAATGACTACTAATTAAGCAAAGAAAAAGTAAATATTGCAGATATATGTTTTTTTTTAAAAAATGCACCTGAGTAATAAATTACTAGTTAGCCTTTAATGTTTCCATGCATTGTTGGTACAAAATGAACATTTTACAAATATATTTAAATCACATGTGCTAGTGATCACAACTTTTATGATCAAACTATTAACTGTTCTTAAATAGGAGTATGTGCCAAATATAATTTTTTTTTGCTATGAGAGTCAAACATCTTTAGCCAATGAGTAAAAATAGTAGTTGTTCTACTATTGTTCTAATTCATACAGATTTTATTCCTTCAAAAGTTTGTGCCTTTAATTGCTATACTTTTTTAGTTAAGAAATATATAAATATGACAAATTAAGGGAATAACTTGTAACATAAATTATATTCCCAGGAATATGTCAAAGCTGGTGGCATTCTTCAGGAGGATATTTCTGAAGCCTGTCTAATTTTGGGAGTTAAAAGACCCCCAGAGGATAAATTAATGTCCAAGAAGACTTATGCATTCTTCTCCCACACAATAAAGGCCCAGGAGGCCAATATGGGCTTATTGGATGAGATTCTAAGACAGGTAATTAGTGACCAATATTCATAAATGCTAACATAGAAACATACTATATTTTTACTTTTAATTGTAAGTATAGTTTTCATTTTCTTTCAGCATTAAGGAAATACATCACATTATTCACCTCAATAGGGAAAGTGATCTACGAGTTAGGATTTGAATAATTCTGAGGCTCTCGAGGCTCCTCTGCTGTGCAGCTTTGTAATTAGAGGAATCAAACATGTTTTATTCACTTTGTATTCTGAAATGGATAAGAATGAGAGAAGTGTTCCTCTCAAATGGTTACCATTTATAAGGCCAATTAGTCAGATATTATCAAGTAGAATTTTAGAGCTGAGAAGAACCTTTGGGATCATATACTGTATCACCTTAACTCTTTACATGGAGTCCAGAGAGGTAAAGTGACTTGACTGAAGTTGCATGGTCTGTAGTGTCAGAACTGGAGTGGAGACTATTTCTACATTTATTAACATTCATAAGAGAAAAGAAAAGGATTTTTGAGATATAAATACTATGGAAAAACTATCGGTTATTTAAAATACAGAATATTCATTCAACAAATATTTACTGACTGCTTACAAGGTGTCTGACACTGTTCACTGAAGTAATAGACTGTTTCTGTCTTCACAGAGCTTACATTCCGGTGTGAGGAGACAGGTGATAAATAAAACACCTCATGTGTCATTTGGCGAGATGTATAATGGAATAAATATGATACAGAAGGAGTAAAGGATGCTGGGCTCTGGGGGAGGTGAAAAGGCTAGCTTAAATAGGATGAGCAGGGTGATCCTCATTGCAAAGTTGGCACTGAGCAAAAATTTGAAGGAGATGAAGCATCAATCTTATCTATCTGGGAAGTCTTCTAAGCAGAGAAAATAGTAGGCCCATGAGTCTTTTCGAGTAGAGGATGAGAGTAAATCATGTTCTAAAATGCTTATTCTGCCTGCTGTGTGGATGAAAGCTGGAAGTGTAAGGAGGAGGACAAAACTGATAAGATTGTAAGTCTAAACTAGTGTAGGCACTAGGCTACACATGATGGTGGCTTGCACGAGGGTGGTGGAAGTGGAGTTTGTGGTACATGGACAAACCTTGGATGCATTTTAGAGGTCATCTTACAGGAATCACTGATGAAATGAATGTGGAATATGAGAGAAAGAGAAGCCAGAGATGACTCCAAGATTTTGGTCTGAGCAACGAAAGGAGTTGTCATAGATTGAGACGATGTCACCACTGCAAGAGGAGCAGGCTTGGATGGGAAGGTCGAGAGTTGAGTTTAGGGCCTGTTGAGTTTAATTTGTCCATTAGACACTTAAGGGGAAATATTGAGTGGGCCATTGGCTATGAATTTGTAGCTCAGGAGGCCAGTTCCTCCTGATGTACATTTTTTCAGAGACTTGATGGTATTTAAAGTCTTGAGAGCAGGTGAGTGTAGGGAGTGAGTGTAGATAGAAAAGTCTAAAGTCCAAGTCCTGGGGTAAAGATATTAGAGCATTAGAAACTGGAATCTGAGAATAGACAGAGGATAGGAAAGTTCACAAGCAGTAAAAGCAGTGGAGGAAAAAGTATTTTATATAAGCATATAGAATACATTCCTCCTAATTTCGAATATGCTAGCACTGAGCCGTAGTTAATTTGCAGTATTTCTGAAGAACAAATACAAAAAGTAATTAATGGAAATAATATTATTAGAAGAATGTTTCACCTTAAGCAGATAAACTACTTAAAAAGTACTTTAGAAATCTTTTTTTTTTGTATTATATGAACATTCGTTCATTACAAGAAAATTAATAAAAACAGATCCAGCAGGGCTGTTTTTGACAACAGTTTGTAACTAATTACTTGGAGTTGGATGAATATTAAACATTCTTAAACAAGCACATGGTAAAATCACATGATCTTCAAGGAACTAAAATGACCGTTTAAAACATTCCATAATTATGTGTCATAGCTTTTCATCATAAGACATTCTTGAATGAGGGAAGATTCTCAAAGAAAGAGGAAGACTGGTTTTAGTGAAGGCGAGGAAGTGAAAAACAGGCAGCAAGGGCTACTTTGTAAATGAAGCATACTTGCGAAAGGATAGAGAAAGAAAAAAGGAAAAGAGAGAGAGGAAGAGAGACAGAGAGATTAAGAGAGACAGAGAAAGAGAGAGAGAGAGAATGAGATAGATTTGTGTGTATGGGCTTGAGAGGGAGTGTTATTTTTAAGGTAGAAGAGACCTGGGTGAATTTAGAATGGCCGAGAGGTGGGGGCAGTGTAAAGAGTAATGCAGGGGAGAGAAAAAACTGAGAAAGAGTGGTCTCGGAGACCTGGGAAAAAGCTGGATCTAAGGGCCTCATAAGGCTCAGTCTCAGGAGGGATTTGCTTTCTTCAAGACTTAGAAGGAAGGATGTGAAGATGGGTGGGGCTGTAGATATATTTGTAGATGGTGCCAGGTTAAAATTTAAAGGAAATCATGCCTTTATTATTTGATTGACGACCCTGAAGAAACATTTAGCACCCTGCTAGTACTGTTCTTTCATCTCTAATCACAAACCTATCTTTGGCTTGTGACTTGGCGTTTTCAAAATATTTCATGGTGTACCCGATGCTAACTTATATTGGCAAGTCAAAATATATTTTATAGGAGGAAAAAAATGTGAAATACTGACTTGCTCATACACGTGCTTTACTCATGCTTTGCTCCAGGCATGTTGAGTTTTTGCTATTTATTCTTCTTCAGGAAATCCGACTTATTGATTATGAAAAAATGGTGGATCATAGAGGAATTCGGGTAGTGGCGTTTGGACAGTGGGCTGGTGTGGCAGGTAGGTGTTCCAGGGTTTTTATATCACCCACTTTCTAAATTTCCCTGTGGAGTAATTGTGTGTTTTCTTTTTACTGTGGCAAGGAGATAGGAGTGTTCACTTCCACCAACAAAAATAAACATTAGGGTGTGACTAAGGGTGATGAATATTGGGGAACTGGAATAAGAACATAAATCATTAAAATATATTTATAACAAAAATTAAAAAGACAAAGAGCAAGGAGAAGAATAACAACTATGGATGGACTCTGACTTTTTAGGTACTTCTGTTCAGAAGACTGGAAGGGGAGGTTAGTTTGATGATGAGAAACTGGGAAATAGAAGAAAGTAAAAAAAAGGAAAAACACAGGGGCAGGAAGCAACAGTGGAACAATCTAGAAAGGATAAGAGCTGGAGTTTGGGGAAAAACTCCACTTGATTTTTTTCCCAGTTAGTACTTTGAACCTTCTGTAGTTGAGAGACACCACCATATGTTATAACTCTTTATCAGATTAAATGATCTGAAGGTCTTTAACTGTCAGAACAAGTAGACAGAAGTTTGTAGGGACACTAAAACACTGTCATCTACGTTGACATAATTGACAGTTATTGAGTTCTGCACCCAACTGTGGAATACATGTTCTTTTCAAGTTATATGGAACATTCATCTAGATGGTCCATGGGCTGGGTCACAAAACAATTCTTAATACATTTAGAAGGTTTGAAACCATAGAGTGTGTGCTATGACTATAATAAAATTGACTTTGAAATTATAATAGAAAGATATCTAGAAAATTTCCAAATATTTGGAAGATAATGTAATTTGAATAGTTCATGAGCCAAGAAGAAATCAAAGGAAAAATTAGAAAATATTTTGAACTGAATGAAAAGTTAAAGTACAGAACAAAATGTGTGGAATACAGATAAAGCGGTGCTTAGAAGGAAATTTATAGTATCAATGCTTTTATTAGAAAAAAAGAAAGTTCTAAATTAATGATCTAAACCTCCATCTTAAGGAGATAATAAAATAAGAGGGATGGTATCTCATTGTGGTTTTGATTTGCATTTCCCTAATAGCTAGTGATGTTGAGCATCTTTTTATATATTTATTGGCCATTTGTATGTCTTCTAGGGAGAAGTGTCTGTTCAGGTCCTCTGCCCATTTTTTCATTGGATTGTTTTTTGTTGTTGTTGTTGTTATTGAGTAGTATGAGTTCTTTGTATATTTTGGACATTAGAGGCTTATCAGAGGTATTGCTTGTAACTATATTTTTCCATTCAGATGGTTGTCTCTTTACCTTGTTGACAAGTTCTTTTGCTGAGCAGGGGCTTTTTAGTTTGATGTAGTTCCATTCATTTATTTTAGCTTTTACTTCCCTTTCTTTTGATGTCAAATTCATAAAATCCTCTTTAAGTCCAACGTCCTTGAGTTTAGTTCCTACGTTTTCATCTAATTGATCTACCATATGATCCGGAAATCCCATTCACCCCAAAGTCTTGAAAACCCATATCCAAAAAGATATTTGCATGCCAATGTTCATAGCACAGTGGCCAGGACATGGAAGCAACCCAAGAGTCCTACGATAGATGATTGGCTAAAGAAGCTGTGGTACATATACAATGGAATATTACTCAGTCATAAGAAGAGATGAGATACTGCCATTTGCATCAACATGGATGAACCTTGAGATAATCATGCTAAGTGAAATAAGCCAGACAGAAAAAGATGAAAATCATGATATCACTTATATGTGGGATATAAACCTAAAAGCAACAAACAGAGAGACCCATGGACATGGGCAATGGACTAGTGGTTACTAGAGGGGAGGGGGAAAAAAATAAAAAAAAATAAAACACTAAAAAAGAAAAATAAAAAAATTGTAGAAAAAAATAAAATAAGAGGGAAAATCAACTAAATCAAAGACTAGTTCTTTTTTAAAAAAATTAATAAAATTGATAAACCTACAGTTAGATTGATTAAAAAGAGAGACGACACTAATTACCAAGATTGGGAATCCAAGAGAGATCATTACTATATACCTTACAGACATTAAAAGGATAAAGGAATATTATGAAAAGGCCAATAAATTTGACAACATTGATAAAATAGACACAAATCCTTGAAAGATACAAAATACCAAATCCAACTCAAGAAATAAAAAATTTGAAGATCAGTGTACAAAATAAATTCTACTCTTAGACATTTATCAAGAGAAATGAATTATATTTTGTCGAGACTTACTAATAGTACCATTCCTAATACCTAGAAACAATTCAAATGTCCATCAGCAGAGGGATGGAAATATAAATTGTGGTATATCCACAAAATGGAAAACTCGTCAGCAATAAAAAGAAACAGATACACACAAAGTATGTATGAATCTCAAAAAACATTATGCTGAGTGAAAGCAGACACACAAAAAAGTATATGTTTATAATTTCACTTACATGAAACTGTAGAATAAAATACATCTATACAAACTGAAATAAGTTCACTAGTTGTCTGGGACCAAGGGATGGAGAGAATTGACTGGGGTGATGGAAATATTCTGCATCTTGATTCTGTTGGTGGTAATGTGGTTATGTACTCTTGTTAACAGTTATCAAGCCATACACTTTAAACTGATGCATTTTATTGCGCATAAATCATTCCTTTAAAAGTTGACTTCAGAAGAAAAGCAAAGAAAATTTGATAGGGATTTGAAGAGGGAAGTTCTGTTCCTAAAAAGGAGAGAGTAGATGCTGAGGTCTTTGCTCCAGGCATGCTGAGTTTTCACTATTTGAAGGACATCCAAATTGGGAAACCCATAAGGGTCTTGAAATAAAATATCTGTGCTAGCGATACAGATTTAGGGTCATCTGCATACAGAGAGTAGTTGAAATTTAGGAGTGGATGAGATTAACTAAGGAAAAAAATGTAGAGATTGGAGAGAGTAGAGCACAGGACAGAATCCTGAGGCTGATTAATATATAAGGAAAGGGCAGAGGGCACTAATATAAAAGGAATGGGCATGGGAAGAGGTTTCTATAGAAATGTAGAATGGAAAATTTTAAGTTAGGGATGCTGAGGGAGGAGAGTGTTCCAACAAAGAGGGACTCTACGTTGCCTAATACCTCTGAAAAGTAAGTCAAGATCTGAAAAGAGTCCACTGAGCTTTATAGGTCACTAAAATTGCTGATGGGGGTCACAGGGTCAATGGTGACTTTATTTTTGTTCATTTTCTTTCTTGATATGGAAGGAATGGAAGCATGTTTAAGTGTTGATAAGAATAAGCCTATAGAGAGGGATAGTGAAAGGAATAATTCAGTAGTACATTCCTTAGACAGGCAGAGAGGGATGGGATCCTGGAGAAGAGGTAGAGATTACCCTTGGAGAAGAAGAGGGCCACCTTCTTTCATTTTAGCAGGATTGAAAGTCGAAGGGTTAGGTGGGGATGCAGCTGGCTTAGTGCTTCTGATGGCAGAAAGTTGAGGGGGTAAGGTGGCCACTGGGTCCATATCTGAGACGCCGTGGTCTGTGCTTTTTCAGAGCACCGTGTAGGTTGGAGATAGGCAGAGAGATCAGCTTCAACTCCTCCCAACTAATGATCTTTCTATTGGTCTGATTCTGTAACAGGGATGATCAACATTTTACATGGAATGGGTTTAAGGCTCCTTGCTTTGGGACATCATACACCTTTTATGGTGAGATATTTATTGTTTATTTTTTTGAAAATATATATCACACTTTAAGAAAAGAAAAATGTCTCAGGTGGTAAACTAACTTGAATTGTGTGCTTGCTTTCAGCACATTGGCATGGCTCATAACTATAGGAACAGCAGTCAGGCTGTGCAAGCTGTCCGTGATGCTGGCTATGAAATATCTCTGGGTTTGATGCCCAAGTCAATAGGGCCCTTAACATTTGTGTTCACAGGGACTGGCAATGTATCAAAGGTAAACCCCATCTTTCTCTCTGTAAAGCAATCTGAAACTCTGAAAATATCCCAAAAGATGTGGGCATTTTGTGGGCATTTCAGAGCCCTGCTTTTCAATGAATGGGCATTCTCTTTTTGGTACTTTTCTTATTTATATACTTTTCCCATCGTAAAGAGCAGTCATGGTCCAAATTTATGTTCCTTGCTTTTAGTAGATTCCAAGCTGTGAGAGGCTTTGAATGTCTTTTATTATTATTATTATTATTTTTAGATGGACAACTCATTGTTAATGATATAAAGATCTGTTCTTCAGGTGATCTGTTTGAACTCTATTGCTGAGATGTCTAAAAGTTGAGAAGTTACCCTGGGATGTAAATTTTTCAAGACAATTTGGAATTTTGCCAATCAGATGTTAAGAAGCTTAATTCAAGACTGGAATTCATACTTTCTTCCTTCTGGGGTGGTTTTAAGAATGCACTTGTAACAAAACCCCTCTCCCCCTGCCAGAGAAGCTTGTGATTATAAAGTAGATCTCTCTTCAATGAAAATATTTTACAAATAGGACATCACTATTTGTATTATGCTATAAAATAGGCATCTGATTTCTTTTGGAGGAATATGGTTTCCCCATTTGAAATAATTTCTGTAATGGAGCAAAAAGTAAATATTTTATTGTACTCTCAGTTCTAAATACTATTGTTTCTATGCTGAGTAACTTAAGTAAAAAAAAATAAAGCCCCTTTCAATGCATGGTGTTCAGACTAGAATAAAAACTGGTTGCAGGCTGTGGGCAAGAAACTCGTCTGTACTTCCATGTTGCAGGGCAGGACAGGTGGAGCTGTATAACTGTGGGGAAATGGATTAGAATCATTGCAGGAATCCATGTTGGCTCTTTTCCTGTTGATTTTTAGATTTTTACTCATGTGTCATTTACAGGGAGCCCAAGAAGTCTTCAATGAACTACCCTGTGAATATGTGGAACCACATGAATTAAAAGAAGTTTCTAAAACTGGTGGTAAGAAGGGAAGGAGGGTGACCATAGGTGTTTTTTGCTGTTTTTTTTTTTTTAAAGCAATTTCTGTGTTATAATATTTTATCGCCATAAATCTTTATCATTTGTCACCCACTTTATTAATTTCTTTCTCCTCTGCAAGACCTGAGAAAAGTGTATGGAACAGTGTTAAGTCGCCATCATCATCTTGTCAGGAAAACAGATGGTACATATGATCCCGTAGAATATGACAAATATCCTGAGCGCTACATAACTCGTTTTAATACCGATGTGAGTATCGTACTTGGCTTTTGAGTTGGTTGCTCATGATACATAATAGCCAGGCTGTTTTCAAGGAGAGAAATTCCAAACGTGTACATTGGTTTTCAGTTCCTCATATTGACTTGTTGTGAGTCCCTTGGGTATCATGAGTTGGCCTTAGGAACTGTTGGCTTTTATTGATGTTTGGAGAGGCCTTTGCTGAGTGGTTTTGGGGGTTTCTGTGGCTATGCTCTTTGCTTCACTGTCTCTGTTTCTACTTTAGGTCAGCATGTGCCTAATAGCTCTAAAACATTTCCTGCGGATGACTGTTTTCTGTATTTATCCTGGACTAGTTATTACTGTTGGCAAAGCACAATGTCTATGAGATTTGATCTCGACATAGGTTTATTACTTCTATGGCCACGAATTGCAATTATACCCTCAGCCAGATGTCTCAAAATGCATACCATTGATTATAGGGGCCCAGGGCAAAATAATATAACTATATAAGCACAGACCCATCCCCACTGTACAAAAAAATTAAAATCCTTCTAATGGGGACACACTAGCCTCATCTTATAAGAACAATATGTTTGTGTGTTTTATAGTTTTTGGTCATTTGACAGTCCTCCTCAAAATAAACCAACAAAAAATAAACAAAGCAAAAAATGCATGCATTTGTGATGAGAAGGAATGTTTTAAGTAATTTCGAATATGTTTGAACAACATAGCATTTTTAGATTCTAGCATGAAACTTAGTGTTATAGCATGTAAAGCATGTTATAGAAAAGGATTCTTACCTGTAGCTTGTGAATTCTTGAGATGCCTGAGAAAGAAAAATTACGAAACCAGTCTCAAATTGAAAAAATTTGAATCTAGTAGATTTTCATCCCTTCTCTTTTTCCAATCACAGAAGTATTGGTGATTGGCTGCATTAAAACTTATAATGACCTAGTTACCATGTATGCATGTATGCAGCACATTTTCCATGGAGCTTACAGATGTTATCTGATTTAATCTTCACAGCATTCCTTTGATGAATGGGGTACATATGATCCCCATATGGCAGGTAAGGAAAACAGAGCCCAGAGAAGTTGAGGTAGCCTGATTTAGATCATACTCTACTGGTGGTTGAGCTGCAAATAGAGTGCTAGGTCACCTGATTCTCTGTCCTTATTTTTTTCTTGGCTATGCAATATACTAAAGAGCAAAAATGTTAATATATTTATATTTAAATATTTATCATCGGGAATATTACATTGAAATCTGGGTGGCCATTTATTGTGTTTGACCCAGAAGATGGCCACTGACCTGGCAAATAACAAAATCAATTTGAAGTAACATTAAATTATTCCTCATGGACTTTACTGATAGCTCTCTTTCAGCACACTGCATTGAAATATACTATTTCCTTGTTTGTTGAACTTGGAACTTACTTTACAGATTGCACCCTATACAACTTGTTTTATTAATGGAATCTACTGGGAGCAAAACACCCCTCGTCTACTAACCCGCCAAGATGCTCAAAGCCTCCTGGCTCCAGTCAAGTCTTCAGTTGTCGGTGTGGAAGGCTGCCCTGCATTGCCACACAAGTAAGGACTTGACTTCAGCAATGATGGCAGTTTTTAGCAGGGCCCACTATTAGGGTATCACACATAGGGGATCCACAAATCACAGGGCTTGACTGTTAATGACTAGTCTGCCTTACCTTACTTGACCTCTTGAGAGCATTTGACAGTTAACCTTCCCATCCTCTTGAAACTCTTAACTTCTGTGACTCCACATGCAGCTCAGAAGTAACCTCCTCAGTGAAGTCCTTTTCTCCCCATTACCATCTCTTTCTAGTCTGTTTCTCGGTTTCTGTTTCTGAAGTTCATGATTATTTATTTTTCAGTGTGTATGATTTTCCCCCTCCTACTTGCACTTATCATCTTACGGAGAGGGTTCCGACTTATCTTGGTTACAAGTACCCAGTACATTTCCTGACACATGTATTCAAATTATTAAATGTCCAATTAACCAATAAATATTTGTGGAACACCTGGTCTATCTAGCCTTCTGCTGAGTAAAGATAGAGGAGAGTAACTGTATGGTTGCTGCCTTCAGGCATGTAGCTGGCATCAAGTAAATGCCAAGGGAATGCTAAGAGCAATTAATATCGCAAGAGTTTAGAAGAAAGTGGGAAAGCAGAGCCTTAAGAGGGAGGAGTGAAGAGAATGACAGTTTCAAGGGACAGGATTGCTGCTTGATAAATATGGAGTGACCAAAACACAGCTGACACAATGAGTGGGACACTCTAACTCCAGTATAGGGTTTATATAGACAAGTGGTAATTGAAGGTTAGGCAGGGAGATTGTGGTCAACCTCAAAGGATTTCAAATGCTGGGCTAAGACTTTCATTCATAATTCTAGTGATTTCTATGTAATAACATCTAAAGTTATGTAGTACTAAGCAGGATAGAGAGAGTTGGCTAAGTAGATTAAGTTTAGGCTGTCGTCAGTGATATCTCTAGAGAAGGGATTTTCTACTTTTCTTTCTTTTCCTTTCCTCCCTTCCCCCCTCCTTCCTTGTGAAGGCTGAAACTCATGGTAGGGAGATGCTGTGCACCCCAGAAGAACACAGCGAGCTGTGGGAAAAGGAGCTGACAACCTAGGCATTTACCTTGAAAATTGTTCCAAGCACCTTTCATTTTTATTCATTTTTCATCTTGTTGGAGACTTTAGAGTTACATGCTCTGATCTAAGTGCTGATGTTGTTTTCAGACTTGTGGCAATATGTGACATTTCAGCTGACACAGGAGGGTCTATCGAGTTTATGACCGAGTGTACAACAATAGAGCGTCCTTTTTGCATGTATGATGCAGACCAGCATATTATTCATGACAGGTGAGTTTGCTAAAGTTGTTAGGTGGTAAGAAACACATAAAAATACATCATTTACTTACCTTTATGTACTAGTCTTAAAATACTCAATATTTTACATCTTTACCAAGACTGAAAATTCCAGAGGTATCCTGAAACATATTTAAAAATTTAGTAGAAAACCCATAGGCAAATATGTACACTTAAATCCATATATAATATATTTAAATGGGAGGTGGGTTGCTGAAGAAGAGAAAGTTTTATTTGAAGACCCTTGTTTATTTTTCATATACGTTGGTACAAAATTACAAATGATTACGAATCAAATGTAATGAAGTAGACATCTGGAAAAGCTGGAATTTCAAGTAACATTTTGTACTCCCAAATAAAGCATATTGCTTCTCCTAGTGTTGAAGGCTCTGGGATTCTGATGTGTTCCATTGACAATTTGCCAGCACAGCTTCCAATTGAAGCTACAGAATACTTTGGTGACATGCTTTATCCTTATGTCGAAGAAATGGTAAGTAGACCGAGAGCATCTGCAACAACGCTGTGGCTTTAAATAGAACTGCAGAGTGGTCTTATGAATGATCTGGTCTTCAATAGCTAAGAAATCTGTTGTAAAGTGAAATGCCAGCCCTTTCCTCAAGTACTTACTGACACTCGTATTTTACATATTCTGTTTTCTTGTCTAATGGGGAATATGCTTATAAAACTGCCTTTACGCTTAGTTACAATTGCATTTGCCTCTCATTAAGCATGTTTTAGTAAGAGTATTCATGACATGTAAGATAACATTGGCTTTGTTTTCAGTTTTTTCTGCTTTCTAGGTCAATTCATATCGGGGCATTCTTACTATACTGTGATTAAGAGATTTGAAAAGTCAGAAATACAGAAAATTTTATTAGGTATTAGTCACTAATGCTTAGTTAAGTGACAGCTTTTCCTGAGGAAATGTATTTTTCACTGTGATTAGTGACTGACTACTGAAATACTGTATTATTTAAATTTCATTTTCTTTGCCAAAGTTAAACTTTTTTAATTCAGTATTTATCTTAAGTCATCATACTCAACCTGCATTATTTATTTCTATTGCTAATGGCTGTCTGCCTCTGGCGATGAGTCCAAAGGTGTGATTCAGTGGCTCTTGTCTTTTTCATTTAAAGTCGCATTCAGGTGTTCTTTCACTAAAATGGGACAGTAGTTATGGGGCATGAATAAATGAAACTGTCTGTGATCTTCTTTTCTTTCATATACTATTCAGTTTTGATTTTTTGTTTTTCCTCCTGGACTATGTCAGCAGGGAAATGTAATAGGCTTTAGAAAATTCAGACAATAGGCATTATCATAGTTGCATAATATTATACTGCATCTACTATGTGCCAGGCAGCATTTAAATTACTTTATATATTTTAATTTTTACATATTTATGAGAGCCCTATCAGGTAGATACCATAATTAAACCCATTTTACCGATTAGGAAACTGAGGCATTAAAAAGTTAAGGCTGTAAAGGGTGGCTGCTTCAGTGCTGGATCTGCAGTGTGTCTGGAATTGGTGCTGAGGGCTTAAGGAAAGTAGCATGAGGAGAGTACAAATGCCAGGATTTACTGCAGACATCAACTTGCTTTACGGCCTGAGCAGGGCACTCACTTCCTTTCTGAGCTTTAGATACTTCACCTGTAACATAAGACGATTGTTGTATATAATCTTAATGGTCCCTGTCATTCTAACATTTTGTACTGTAGATGTCTAAAGGCTGAAAGGCACGTATATATATATAAAAAAAGTGATAATAAGTTGTTCAGATGTTCACCATTTTCAAAGATTTTCATTCATTTCCCTCTGGCGTCGTTGACCTGAAGACTTAATAACTTCCTTTAGTCAGTTCAGTGAAGTTTTCAATTTCAGGTATTGTTAGTTCTAAAATTTTTATTTGGTTCTCTCTCTTTTTTTTTTTTTTCTCTTTCTCTGCTGAGACTTCCTATCTTTTCATTTATTTTTAGTATACTTTATCACATGGAACATGGCTATAAAAGCTGCTTTACAGTCTCTGCCTCATATTTCAAAAATTCTAGGTGAACTTGGTGTTGAACTTTATTGATTATCTTTTTCCTTGAAAACAGGTCAGGTTATAGTTTTCTGGTTTTCTTAAATTGAATGATTTTGGATTGTGTCCTGGGTGATGTGAATAGTTGTGCTGTGGAGATTCTGGATTGTTAAATTTCTCTGAAAAACGTTGCTTTTTTTGTTTGTTTGTTTTTGGATTTAGCAGGCAGTTAAATTGGCTCGACAAACTGAAAATTCTGTCTCACCTGGGTTGGGAGGTAGCTCACATAAAAGTTCAGCTCCTTTTTATTTTTCTGGGCTGTTGGTAGCTGGCCTGCATGCATTCAGTTCCGGGGTCATACAGAGACTCAGAACAGAGTTTATACAGAAATGGGGCTTCACTTTTTCCGAATCTGCTTTTCTTCTTGGCCTTCCCTGGAGGCTGTGGTTGTCCTGGGTTCCATTCCTGTTTCCTTCAATCAGAAAGTCAGAGAACTTGTTGCAATTCTTTTTTCTCTTCGCACTACACAACCCATCCTCAGGGCGATGCCGAAAGAACGAGAAACTCACCTGCTGTGCTAATTATTTCTTCTAAGTTTTGACGCTTTTCCCCAAGCTGCCTGCTATTCTTCGTTCTCTGAAGCCCTCATGTAGTTAGTTTTTCTTTGTATTTTGTTTAGAGTTTATTAGTCGGAGGAATGGTCTGCTAGAGCTTAGTCCCTTGTACCTAAAGTGTAACTCCCCAGTTGTAATGCCTTGATTGAATCAACGGGACTCCAGCAGAGGTTTGGAGTAGCTAGAAGAGCTATTGGTTAGCCCTTGGCTTTAATTCATCTTTTTGAATGTTAAAATCAGGCCTTTCAATGCAACTCTTACCTTATTAGACTGAGCTATGAAAAATGTTGAATACCGTTTTGCCTTGTGTATAGATTTGTTAATTTCTTAAAATGTCTTTTTCTTCGGCTGCTCTGACATCATTTACCACTCTAAGAAGTTGTTACAAGCCATTTTCAACTCAAAAATCATTATGTTTCAAGATTTCAATTATAAGTTTATTTCTTTTGGACCTTTGAACACAGTTTTTCATTCCTATTTGTCCTTAATCAAAATTGCCATGCGTTCTGTACTATTGATCTGACATAAATGTTAGGAGAAAAGCAAGCCAGTTTAATACATTCTCAGTAAGATGTGATTAGCCCATGCAACTGATGAGGAATAAGTGCATTTCTTAAATAAAATTTTCATTAAGGAAGAAAATATGATTTTTTACATTATATAATAGTATCAAATATTAAAGTGTCACAGATAAGTGATCCATAAGTGTACAGCCTGATAAATTGTCACAGAGACTCTAATGTGAACACTACATAGGTAAAAAATAGAATAATGTTGGCATTCCAGAAACCCTGTGCCTCTCCCGGTACTATGCCACTCTCCTTCTTCAAGGCACCTATTGTCTTGACTTCTAACTGTGGATTAGTTTTGCCTTTTGGGAGGAATTTTTATTTTTGCAACATGTTAACCAGAGTTTAAACTTCTCATAATTCTAGTAAATTCCTCGGGACTGTTCATATTCTTTGCTTTACTCTTTTCTTGGTTTTCAGTCAATTCTTATCACTTCTAGTGCCTGTTTATTTTTGACTGACTGCTGGATATTGTATATGTAAAATTTCAGAGATGAATTGAGATTTCGGATGTTGTGGTAATTTTCTCCAGAGAAGATTTCCTTTGTTTTTAACAAGGAGAAAGGCTAGGAGAAAATCATCTCAATTCAGTTTGGGGTGGAAGTGATTCAAAGCTGGGCTTTAGTCCTTGAAGAACTGAAATTTTCCAGTTTACCATTTATTTTAGAATATAGTTTTTCAGGAAACCAAATGAAAATCTGTTATTGAATAGAATTCTCTTCAGCAGAACTTAAACTCCAATTTTTGTTGTCCTATTGTTTAAAGTCAGCCGGAAGCTCTTCTGAGTTTCTCAGTCTCTGCTGCTTTCTGCTCAACTTCTCAGCATCCCAACCACTGCATCCACATGGCAGCTACACCTAAGAAAAGTGGTGCCAACTGTTGGACACATCTCTCTGGGCTTCCTTCTACAGAATTACGGCGCAGCACGTCTTTACTGCCTTTTGAACATAAAAACTGAGGCTTTTTTATATTTTACTAAGTTTTATTCAATGGAACGATTGGATAGAATATACAATATGCGTTGTATAAGAAAAGAGCAATGTATATTTTCCATCACCATTGCTGGATGGAAAATATACATTAAAAAAGATGATGTGTTTATACCTATGTAAATCAATAGTTGATAGGCTTTGAGGCACTGTGACAAGGTGAAGAATGTCAGGCAGTGAGATTTTGGACATTTTTGGTCAGCACTGAGGCAAGTGGTATTGTTTAGATGTCTGACGAGTAAACCAACTTCTCTAAATTGTCACACCATTTTCATTTATACATCACTATAGTTCTCCAGACAGTGTGGTGGAATTGCCTTTGGGACATCTATCTCAGCATTCATTCTTTAAGGACTGAACATTTGTGAAAATGGATGACTGTCTCTATTTTGTAGTCTTGAGA